AAATCATATTTTCCTACCGAAATCAAAAAATCCCATATTCCCGCCAAAACTGAACTCCCACCAAAGCCAAAAAAATTATTTTCTCATCGAACCGAGAAATCTTGTTAACTGAAAAATGCAGTGTTCCGCCAAAATTGTGAAATTGTATTTTCCTGCAAATTCCCTCTCTTTCTCCTCTTCTCTCTCATTTTCCCTCTTCTCCTCATTGAAATTAAGTTGGCGAATAAAATCGAAATTGGGTTGGGCTATTTAATGTGTTTTGAAAACAGCATTAGTATGTGGGCTATCTAAGGCTATCTAATGTGGGCTATCTAATGTGTGGATCTTGAATGATTTTTTTTAATGAGTTGTATTAATGAAATATTTTCATTGGTGAATTAATTTGCTGAAATGTCATTCTAAAAGATCTCCAAAATGCTGATGTGTCTTCACCTGGAGAGACTTATGTGTTTTTGTTGTATTGATTTGCATATATTTGCAAATAGAGACATATTTATAAGAAACTCATACTTCTACGCTTCAATTTTAGAATTTTGGCGTTTCATTCTTCAGCTTAAGAGGATTTATTGATGAAAGTAAGAAAATAACACACTCATGGTGATAGAATATAGGAGGAACCTGATTTTGTGAAGACTTATAAAACTTATTCAAAGAAAAAAGTGATCATTTATGCCGTTAGATAAAGATTTTCTTACAACCATTCATAAATTCCGCTGATAAATGGTAAAGCCACAAAGATGAGAGAAACAAAATTCAGGAAACAGCTCTTATAGGTGTTGCTGACATTGTGTAGCCAAAGACAGTGGCGAGTCTACTAAGACTTATACGGTGTCAATTGACACCATATTAATTACAAATTTCTCTAAAGTTTATAAGGATTGAATAATGTTGATACCGCTACAAAATTAAAGTTGAACCCATAAACTTTTTTTCTTAACCTTATTTTATTTAGTATGACCCATAAGTAAAAATTAAATGTTAGCCCATATATATTGGGCTTTATTATCAAATATATTTAGAAAACTAAAGTGGAATTTTAACTTAACAATTTCTAAACAAATGGAAACTTAATCGACTAAAACTAAAAAAGCAAAAAGAATTCTTCGTCAAACCCAAACACAAACCCTGGGTCCAGTGGCGACGGTGTCAATTGACTATATATAAACTTTTTTTCTTAACCTTATTTTATTTAGTATGACCCATAAGCAAAAATTAATGTTAGCCCATATATATTCGGCTTTATTATCAAATATATTTAAAAAACTAAAGTGGAATTTTAACTTGACAATTTCTAAACAAATAAAAACCTAATCGACTAAAACTAATAAAAAAAAAGAATTCTTCGTCAAACCCAAACACAAACCCTGTGTCGTGACTTTCTACCTTTCTTCTTTATCTTTCTTTCAGATTCTCAATTTCTCATCCATCTCCAATCAAGTAACTAAGTAAGTGAATAATTATGTTGTAATTCATATTTTGTTATCTAATTTATTCTTTTTGATTTTGGTAATTAAGTAATTAACTATCTATATAAACGTTTGTTTTAGAAACTGTCTTAGACTCTTAGCTTTTGTTGTTAAATTATCGTCTTAGCTTTAGACTTTAGTTATATTCTTTATTTTTCTTTCTGATTCTCTTGAATCTCATCCATAGTCAATCAAATAAGTGAGTAATTATGTTGTTATTATTATTTTGTTATCTATCCTTTTGATTTTGGTATCTATAGAAACGTTTGTTTTAGAAATATTGTCTTAGCTTTCGTTATTTACTTATTTAAGAATTGTCTTAGCTTTAGGTTTTAGTCTTGATTGATAAACGACTATTATAAATTAGATTAAAACGGAATGTTTTTTTCGGTTTCTTTCATGCCTTTCTTTTGTGTTTGTTTTATATTAATAGTTTTTCTATTTTTTCTTTATTCAGATCAATCAATGTACAAGTTTTTAAAAAGAAAAGCTCCATCTTCATCCAGATGTGATTTAGATGAGTTACCATGGGATCCTGCAGATCGGAAAAGAATATCAGAATATCATCTGAATCAAAGAGAAGAGGTAATCCGTAGATACTGGACTAGAGGTCTTTGCCAGCCTCGTGGTCATATTTTTAAACAAAAATCGATAGGAGGTATGATGAGGCGAATTAATCCTAGTTAGTTTGATCAATATAGTAATTGGTTGGAGTATAGTGTGAAGAAAGATGCAGCTTTTTGCCTATGTTGCTACTTGTTTAGAGATACTAATGGTATGGGTGGAAAAAATGATGCATGGACCACCGAAGGTTTCTCTAGTTGGAATAAAGCTAAGAGAATTTCAGAACATGTGGGACATGTTAATAGTTTTCACAATAATGCAGTCATGAAGTGTGAAAACTTAATAAAGCAAAATCAGTCTATTGAGCATGTTTGGCATAAACATAGTGATATTGCAAAAAATGAGTATAGGATTCGGTTGAATGCTTCAATAGATGTTTCTAGATACTTATTGGGACAAGGGCTGTCTTTCCGTGGTCATGATGAATCAGAAAAGTCTGTTAATAGAGGAAATTTTGTGGAGCTTTCGAAATACACTGCTGAACAAAATGAAGTTGTGAGTAAGGTTGTCTTAGAGAATGCTCCTGGAAATAATCAGATGGTGTGTTTAGATATTCAAAAAGATATTGTGCATTGCTTTGCAGAAGAGATAGTCAAATCTATTGTTGAAGAAATTGGTGATGATGTTTTTGGTTTGTTAGTGGATGAGTCGGCTGATGTTTCTGATAAAGAACAAATGGTAGTGGTATTTCGATTTGTTGATAAATGTGGGATAGTTAAAGAAAGATTCATTAGCATTATGCATGTGTTCGAGACATCTTCAGCAACTCTGAAATCTGCTATTGATTCTTTGTTTGCTAAACTTGGGTTAAGCATTAAAAAGGTGAGAAGACAAAGTTATGACGGAGCAAGTAACATGAAGGGCGAGTTCAATGGATTAAGGTCTCTAATTTTGAAGGAGAACACACCAGCCTATTATGTTCATTGTTTAGCTCATCCACTTCAACTGGTGGTAGTGGCAGTAGCTAAAAAGCATTTTGAAGTTGGAGGATTTTTTGATATGATTTCTCTGTTGTTGAATGTGGTTGGCGGTTCATGAAAAAGGAAAGATATGATTCGAGAGGATCATAAAAAAGTGATGGACGAAGGAATCACCAGTGGTGAAATTAACACTGGAACGGGATTGAATCAAGAGGTTTCTTTTCAAAGACCAGGAAATACTCGTTGGGATTTTCACTACAGAACTTTGTTGCGTTTAGTTGACCTATTTTCTTCAGTCATTAAGGTACTTGAGCATATTGAGAAAGAAGGCTTAGAAGACTCGCCACTGACCAAAGATCAATCAGCTTTTTGATCAACAATTTCCAGCTTTTGCCTACACAACACCACAAACAAGGAAATCAAAATCAAAATTGTTACTTTCCCATGTTCTACAATACAAAGTTTAGGTATTACAAAAACTACAGCAAAAGAGCATATTTCCTGTATTTTTTATTTCTCCTCATCCGAAGAATCTTATATTTCAAGATTACAGTATAAGATATTAATAGTCTTAATATCTACATCCCTTTTGTTTGATTCCTCCTAATAACAAAAGTATGATGGTTGTTTGACATTCGAAAGAAAAATTAAATTGAATTTTTTTCATAAAAAAAAAGACCAAATAGTACCATAACGTACACTCTCTTACAAGCTCTCAAGCATCATCAATAATAAAAAAAAAATCGAATGTTAGCATAAATCAAATTTTAATCCAACTTTTACTTGAGACCAAATCTGCAAAATGTGATTCTTCAACTAGCATATCATCATCATATATGTTTTCTTCGTTACGTAGAGCATGCTCCCAATAAGAGTCGTATGATAACGCCATTTTTCACAATATGTTCGCTTTAGGTACTCTCTCTTTGAACTACGCCGCGGTGTGGCTTTGGGGCTAAAACCAAACAAAAAAATTCATAAGAGGCATCAAAGAAGAGAGTTGAATATAAAGATGATCCTATAATTTCTCGTTAGAAGCAAAACAAACAAACAAAAAGCGTTTGATTCAGCTTAAAGAATCATACCAAAAAAATGATAAGGATGATGCACACATTATATGCAAGGTTCACATGTTACATAAAGAACACATTTCAAGAATTTCTCAGCAACTTGTGACTTGTGAGGGTGAGAAAATATAAGTTATGGTTTTGACAAAGCAAACAGTAAGTGACAGAACTGAACAGTGACTATATGAAAGAAGACAAAGAAATGATCAAAAGGTTTGATAGTTGGCTAAGCCAATGAAACGTGTAAACTCAAAATGATATGAAAGCAAGTTAAAAGGTTGTTTTGTCTGAATCTGTCACACCAAATCAATCCCACTCTTCAACAAGAAGCTCAAACTTGGTTACTTTAAAATTATTAACAGAAAGAGACAAACAAGAACAAGATTGGTCTAAAATTGGAACTAGAGATTTGATAGATGATAACATACCAATCTTTTAAGTGTTGTTTCTCAGTGTAACGCCCCCCGACCGCCCCTACCGGAGAGTCACTCGGGCTCGTGGGCCCCGCCCCTGTCTGACGGCTGGTGCGTTATTTTTCCCGAAACCCAACCGACTTATTTACTGACCCTGCAATTATCATATGATTTTTTCCCTTGTTTTAGCCTCACTCACACGGTTTCGGGAATCACTTCTCGAATGGTCACCCATCTAATTCTACTCCAATTCAAGCACTCTTAACTGTAGAATTCTCTTGGGACTAGTGACCGAAAACAACAACAACAGGATCCACTCCAATGCCAAAGTAAAACCTGAAGGAACCAGAAATCAAATATACAAGAGAAAAAGGAAAAAGTAAAGTTTATAAGAGAAAAAGGAAAGAACAAAAACGGGGTCTCCTTATAAATACTCTGCTTCCCCCATAACTTGACGATTCGTATCTCCCACCTCTTTCACTTCAAAACCCTATCTTTGCTTTCGTAACCATGGATTCTTCTTCTCAAATCAGACCTAAGAAATCGCTGCTAGTGGTCGGAGGTGGTTCCACTCCCGGTGACTCCTCCAAGCAGGGAGTCAAGAGACACCCGAGAAATCATGATGACGCTGATTATAATAACTTGTCTTTCAAGAAATCGAGGACGATGGTTAACCCTAAAAAACTCGTTCCAGAAACTCGGAAGCTTTCTAAACAGTTTTGGAAAGCAGGAGATGACAAAGAAGATGAGCATGTACCTCACTATTGTAGCAATGGTGCGGCGGCGGTTAGGGTTCATCCTCAATTTCTTCACGCCAACGCCACTAGCCACAAGTGGGCACTTGGAGCTTTGGCCGAACTTCTAGACAATTCTCTAGACGAGGCATGTAACGGGGCAACATATGTTCACGTTGACTCAACAACAAACGAAAAAGACGGGAAGAGCAGCATCCTCATAGTTGAAGACGATGGAGGTGGGATGAATCCGGAGAGGTTTAGAGAGTGCCTTTCTTTAGGGTATTCAAGAAAACGCAGCATGGCTAATACAGTAGGTCAGTACGGGAATGGATTCAAAACCAGTACAATGAGGCTTGGTGCTGATGCGATTGTCTTCTCACGTTGCCGAGGAACCAATGGAAACAATCCGACACAGAGCGTTGGTATGTTATCGTACACGTATCTCTACGAGACGAGAAAATGCGAAGCCATTGTCCCCACGGTTGATTTTGAGTTTGTGGGTAACGTGTGGAAGCCGATAACCTACAACTCCACAGACGAGTGGCTTGATAATGTCGACACTATAGAGAAGTGGTCTCCTTACTTGTCCCAGCGAAGTTTATTCAACCAGTTTGATTCCCTCAAAGAGCAAGGTACTCGTATCGTTATTTATAACCTATGGGAAGACGACGAGAGGAAGCTGGAGCTCGATTTCGAAACAGATCCTCACGATATTCAACTCAGAGGTGCAAACAGAGACAAGAAGAAGATAAAGACGGCGAAAGATTATCCTAACTCGAGGCATTTTCTAACGTATCGACACTCGCTACGAAGCTACGCATCGATTCTGTACCTCAGGCTTCCGCCAAACTTTAGAATCATTCTTCGCGGCAAAGAGGTCGAACACCACAGCTTACTAGACGACATGATGATGACCGATGACATAACATACAGACCTGCGCGGTCTCCACCGGTAGAAAACTTGGTCGCTACGCTAAAGATTGGGTTCGTGCAGGACGCTCATCGTCACAACGACATACAAGGGTTCAACGTTTACCACAAGAACCGGTTTATCAAGCCGTTTTGGAGGGTTTGGAATGCTGCTGGAAGCGATGGACGAGGTGTGATTGGTATATTGGAAGCTGACTTCATACAACCAGCTCATAACAAGCAGGGCTTTGAGCGAACCGCTGTTCTTGCTAGACTTGAAAACCGACTCAACAAATATCAGAAGAACTATTGGTTTTCAAAGTGCCAGGAGATTGGTTATGCTCCAAGGCGGAAGCACAATGATCATGAGAGCGTCACTCGACAGCCGGACCAGAGTGGCAACCACATGAACCATGATAAGGGATCTTTGTCTAATGCAGCACCAGCTCGGTTCAGGCAGCATGTTGAATCATCTGCTGGAAACCGAAACTCTCATCAGGACAGAAAGATATCTGACATCGGGGTTAAGAAGGGGAAACATAGGCTTGGGATAAGTTTGAATGAAACAAGATCAGCTAATGAAGCAGACGAGTTGCAAGACGAATCAGCAAAACGGGTGGCTGATTTGCAGAGACAAGCTGAGAATTCGCACAAGGTAAAAGATGAATTAGCAAAACTGGTGGATGAGTTGCAGGAACAGAAAACACTGCTTGAGTCACAACTTAAGGATTCAGAAGCCAAGGTTCAGGATTTGGAGAAATCACTCGAGGTGAAGGATGAATCAGTGGTTGAGCTGCAGAAACAGAAAGAAGTGCTCGAGTCGCAACTCAAGGTGTCAAAGGCTAGGAACCAAGAGTTTGAGAAGTCACAGAGAGCAGTGATGGATATCTTTCAAGAAGAAAGAGCTCGCAGAGATGTGACTGAGGATGCCTTGAGGAAGAAACTACGGGGAGCTTCTGATCAAATCGATACGCTAACCATGAAGGCGAATAGACTCGAAGCGGAAAAAGCATATTGTGAGAAGGTACACATGCATATGGGTTAAGCACAGCTTCTAGAAATCGTTTCTAGGATTTTAGCCTTGTACACCAGTTTAGATTTTAAGCATGCAATGGTTCTTGCCATTAATTGTCCAGTCAAAAATAGTTTTAGTATCGCCACTAATTAGCAGAGATACTTTTTGTTGACCCAAACAATTTCATTTTGCAATTTCTGTATATGTTATATATAGAAACTTTTTCTCTCATCTTATTCAGCCTCCGCATCAGTAATTATTTTTCTTACTTTTATTTTTTAAAATTTTTAATCTAACATTTAAACTCAATTATAATGTTGGAAAGCAATAAATAGAATGAATTGTGCTTTTATAAACAGAAATTTTGTTTGAATAAATAACAAAAGTATGATGGTTGTTTGACATTCGAAAAAGAAATTAAATTGAAAAAATTTCATAAAAAAAAAAAAAACAAATATGTAGTACCATTACATTCTCTAACAAGCTCTCGAGCATCATCAATAATTAGAAACCAAATGTTAACATATATAAAACTTTAATCCAACTTTTGCTTGAGACCAAATCTGCACAATGTGATTCTTCACTATCATATCATCATCATATATGTTTCCTATATATGTTTCTTTTAGGTACTCTCTCTTTGTACTACGGGGCGGTGTGGCTTTGGGGCTAAAACCAAAGAAAAAAACTTTAAGAAGTTTCATCAAAGAAGAGAGTTGAATGAAAACATGAGAGTTGTAGTTACCGTTAGGATTGCCTTGCTCATAAAAACATTTGAAAAGCGAGACAGCTTCTTCTGCCATTATTCCTCCTTTGCACTTGTACCCTCTTCCTCTTTGAGCTTCCTCACTATTCAGAAACATAGATCACAATCATTCATTAACTAATAAATGCATTTTTGTTATTAGACTGCAAAGATCATAAGAACTTGCATGACATCTGACGGCTGAGAACTGCTTAAGTGAAGCGACAAGATGGAACCACATCCTCCAAACTTATCATTTGCACATCCATAATACACTTCCTTTATACCGAGAAACGATAAGGCCGATGCACACATTACGCAAGGTTCACATGTTACATAAAGAACACATTTTGAGAATTTTTCAGCGACTTGTGAGGGTGAGAAACTATCTCTCCGCCATTGTCCGACAAGTTCATCAATTGCTTCCATCTCTGCATGTCTTGTAGCCTTTTCAAACACATTTGCGATAAACGCCTTAGCATATAGTTGAGTAAACCAATGTTACAATCATAAACTACTTGATGAAACACTCTATTATGTCATAACATTGTTTGATGTTTCCTGTATATGTATAACTCAATAAAATAAGATAAGAGAGAAATAGTAAGTGAAAGTTTTGGAAAATTACATTGCGTGTCTCATTTGTTCGGTTTCGCCCTGAAGCAATGACCTTGCCATCCTCAAGAATGACACATCTGATCCAGACAAAAGAGAAGGTAAGAAAAGCATATTTTCTCTTACTAATTGATAAATGGTAAGAAACACAAATTGGGATGAAGCAAAAGTAAAAAACAGAGACCCCACGGGGACTTCAAGAGCCTCGAGAGCAAATTTAGCCTGCAATCCAGAAAAATCAACCACTGTAACTCTAAATTCTAAAAGGAATAAACTTTTGAAGTATTATGAAACTAATAATAGTGTTTACTTGTTGAAGAGCGAAACCCATATAATTACGAGAATCCTCACAATGGTCCTCTCTCACTAGTGCCATAACTTTATACTTAGCTTCGTCAAAGACCTGATATATCAAAGATCAAAAAGCCAAAATTATCACATTATGCCTTCAAAGATTAATTTGATCGAATTTGTGAATTAAACAGAAAGCCTACGAGATAACATAAACAAGTTATGGTTTTGACAAAGCAAACAGTAAGTGACAGAACTGAACGGTGATTATATGGAAGAAGACAAAGAAATGATCAAAAGGTTTGATAGTTGGCTAAGCCAATGAAACGTGTAAACTCAAAAGAATATGAAAGCAAGTTAAAAAGTAGTTTTTTTTCAGTATCTGTCACACCAAATTAATCTCACTCTTCAACGAGAAGCTCGAACTTGGTTACTTTAAAATTATTAACAGAATTAGACAAACAAGAACAAGACTGGTCTAAAATTGGAACTAGAGATTTGATAGATGAGAACATACCAATCTTTTAAGTGTTGTTTCTCTGCCCGAGTAGTGACACCTAAAAACTGTACTCAAAGCAAGATCACAAACAACTCCTTCTGCCTTTTTGAAATCAATACTGAGATCCTCTAAGATATTCAGAATCAATACTCAGTACGAGAAACTGGGATCAAAGGAGAAACCCACTAATAATATTAAGAAAGCAACAACGCACCAGAAAAGAAACAAAAAATCGAATTTTGATAGACAAAAACAGGCTTCCACACTTTTCTCGGTCTAACCGCCCAACTCTCTGATGAACAAGAAATCAACACCCTAAAACGATGACGTATACATAGTATATACCTCGTTTCAAAAATTCTTTAGGTGGTCAAAGACAAGCATAAAGTCATCACCAATTCTTTAGCCGAGACATAAACAAACACCGAGACATGATCAAATACAAGGACCAAAAGTATAAATGAGACAAAAACAAACCAAACATAAGCACATCAAGTCATCAATACACATAAACATAAGTCAATCTACAGACCCAATAAGATTGAAAACTGTGATTTATGAACATGAGCAATTACAGAAATTAGTGAAAATCACAGAGAGAGAGAGACATAGACATTAACCACAGATAGAGATTTCGAAACCAAAAAGCTCTGGTTTAAAAGAGAAAGAGAAGAAGTTACAGAAAATCTCGAAAAGGGAAAAGAAAATAAGAGAAGAGAAAGTCGTTACCTGAGAGTAGATGGAGGAGCGGACGGTGGTGAATCAATCCTTGGCTGAAGGAGGAGGAGAGGACGGTGGAGAATCGGAAATAGTGAAAGGAAAATCGGAGAAGAAGAAAGGAAAATCGGAGGGGAGAAGAGAAAAGGAGAAGAAGTTACCAGAGATTGGTTTCTCGATTTTGCTGATGGAGGAGGAGACAAAGGAAGATTCTCAATTAGGGTTTACAGTTCCAGTTTGGGATTTCTGGATACAAAAGGGAAACAAAATTGAAAGTGTGTAAATCGTTTTTGCAAAGAAACATTCGAAAAATTGGAAACATAAGGTGTTGTAGACCAATGTTTTGAAACCCGAACCGAAAAGCAAACAGGAACGTTTATCGGATCACTACGTTTCGCAAGTTTATTTGGGTTGATCCGGATCAACCACAAATTAACTATTTAATTAAATTTTATATAATATATATATTATATAATTTTAAAAATAGAAAAATAGATTTAAATATAAAAAATAAAACATAAACTGTTCAAATTATTAAATATAAAAAATATAACATAAATTATTTAAAACATAATATAAGTATGTGAATAAAAAATTCAATGATACAAATTACAAATCTTAAAACTCAACAAAAGTCATAAAATAACAAAATTTTATAATTTAATTAGAGATTATTTATATTAAAATATATATATATATAAAAAAAAAAATTGCTGGTTCAACCGGATCACTAGGTCACGAGTTACTCGCGAATTTTTCTGGATTTTACCAAATTAATAAATTTCGGATTTTAAAAATAAAACCGACTCGGATAAGTGACAGGTTCCGGTTTAACTGGGCGAACCGGCCGGTCCGGGTTGGGTTTCAAAACATTGTTGTAAACACTCTAAAAATTAACTAGGTGTCCCGCCTGCGCGTTTGCGCAGACATATAAAATTTTAAATAAGTTTAATAAAAAAAATAAAGTTTAATTTTTTTTAATTATGAATTATTTCGATATATATATAATTAGATTATTAAAAAATCTACTAATAATTGTTAATTTGGTATATATAAAAAATCACATAATTAGAGATCTACTTTGTAATGAAATTGCAAAATATTCATTTTTCATGTAAAATTATGGCTATTAGTGAAATTAAGCTTTATGTTTCTTATTTGTATATCAAATTATCATCGGATACCAAAAAATACCTTAAGACTGTTTTTTCCAGAAATATCCATAGTAAAAAACCTAAATAAATGATAGGTTTCCATATGCTTATGGTCATTAGTAAAGAAAAACTCTTGTTTCTTTGTATTCATATTACATATTCATCAAATACAAAAAATTTACCTCAAAGTTGAGATTTTTAAGAATCAAAAATAAAGTATTCATATTACATAGTCACCAAATACAAAGACTTTACCTCAAAAGTGAGATTTTTAAGAATCAAAAGTAAACACCACGGTCTCTTAACTGCCTCTTCTCTTCTTCAATGTAGTTCTTCTCTCTACTCGCTTGACCCAAAGCTCTCTTATTTTCCTCTATGTTAAAAAGAATGAATCTTCCTATCACTCACTTATGCATTCACAATCAACTCACGATTTTCACCATCTACAACGGCAACTCTTGTAGCTTCTCGTTTTCGATAACTCTCTTTCACTTCCACATGATCGTTGCTTATCTCATGACCTCCTCATGCAAAGGGACATCTGGAAAACCATATGAGTTGTAACCATGTTGTTGCAAAGATTCGTAGTCGAAAACTCTCTTGATTTTCTACTTGTCATTCTTTTTATTCACAGTATCCATAGTATCCGCGTTAGAATTAGATAATGATGACTCCTTGTATAAGTTATCATTATCATCACCACTCCATCGCATCGTACCTTTCTTCATGGTAAAGAATATTATAACTCTAACAAAGAAACGAATCTTCGTTAATCCAATTTACGAAATAGATATTTTTTAAAAAAAATGATCTAATATACGTAGGAAAAGCTTATGATGCAAGTAATTTAATATCATTAAGAGTGTTCCATATACAGAACGTAAATACACCCAAGCAAATGCTGGTTGCACATACATCAATGTGTGATCATTGTAAATATTGAATCTTTAATCAGATTGCTGCATAGCAATTGTCTCTGCAAATTCTTTTCATCACAACACCCCCAATGTCTCTTTGATATTTTTTCGACTACCTATGCGCTAACCGATTTATCATTCATTAAATCAATTCTAAAAATCCATATCTGAGTCTCCGAATAATACCAAATAAAACATTTTTTCTTCCTTCTTCGAGGAAGAAAAATCTCTTTGCACCTTAAAAAATCCAGAAGAATCCTCGCATTTTCAGAATTTAGTTTTAAATGCCTTTTAAGACTCTTCAACCAAAACAAAACAAAGCAAATAAATTCAAAAACAAAAAAAATGAATACCCAGATTTGGGATTATTTGTTTTCTTTCAGAAAACCAATCTATAGCTTAAGATTTTAGACATATTCTTACAAACATCACTATTAACGCCAGTCTTAATTAACTGTCATTTGATACAATTGTCATTGGTTTTAGTATCAATAAACATTACAGAAAAATTATAAGAAAATACATAAAAGACTCAAATCTTTAAAAGAAGCTCACATTTAATTATAAAGGCATATACGCTAATTCATACTCTACGGTCACAAGCTTTATTGGCAATTATATGTTACCATCATTTTAACATATAAAGAATAAAAAGTTTAAACTTCTAAAACTTAGATCTAATATCGTAGTAGTCGATAGAAAACAATACACGGAATAATCAAATAAGAAGAAAACCACTAAAGAAAATAAGATATCAGAAATATTAAAATCATCTTTTGAAAACCATGTAGCAATCTGTAGATCATTTCAAACCCACATCTTATATCGAAGCATGTATTTTGAATGCCTACATTGATTAAAAAATTAAGTGAGTAATTAGATAAAATATTGACGACAACATAAAACACATATAAAGACCAATTAACCATTTTTCTATAAACATAAGAACATACCAGAATTATATCCACATGCTCTCAGACCATGATCGTTGAATCCTTACAAAGTATAGAAGAACAAATCAGAACCTTAAACCAAACTAAGAATAATAGATAAATGGTTATCACAAACATATAAAAGCATAATTTCACTACCGATACATATTTTTGAGGGAAATTAAAAGTATATTTAGATGAACTCTAGGTAAAGAAACATATAATAAAAATCTACAAAACCGTAGTAAAAAAAGAAGCATCAGAAATTGTGAATAAGAAGATGTCAAGATGTTTATATAAAAAAAAAACTTAGGCATAACAAACGGTTTTCACTATTATGTTTCCTTTTTTTTCTTTATAGATAAATATCAAATCGAGTTTATCATATATTTATCAAACTTTCTACTTTTTAGATTTATTTTTTTCTATATTTTATAGGATATTTCCTTTTTTCTATATATACGTCACATATTTATTATTTTCCAAAGCTTAAATACAAATATTTTTTAATTAAGAGTATATTAAGTCAATTCATATGAGGGGCAAAGAGTAATCAATCACAATAACTCTGAACCACAGTCCAAATTGTTTGCCAATTAATAATATGATAATTTTATAATTTATTAGTTTTGAATAAAATAAATTGTTTATTAATAATAATTGAAAATAATATTTTCACTAAAATTTATAATATTTATCAAAAATTTTAAAATAAAAATAGAGATAAATGATAAAAGTGTTTTAATTTTAATATAAAAAACAACAATATATTTATATTTTGATAAATTATCATAATTATATATTACATAAAATTAATATGTGATATTTATTAATTTATGATACTAATGAAACTATATTTTATATAAATTTTCAAAAAAAAATATTATTTTAATAATTTATCGATTTGTATTAAATTTTAAACTGGCTCAATTCAGAACCAATTAAAATTATAGATTTATCAAATTTATTAATTTATCGAATATTAACTTATAGAATTTCTACTGTATAGATATAGATGTTTCATAACATTCGATTTTAACATAATCATAAAGTTTTCTAACATTTCATAATATGGTTTGGTTTTTTATTGATTTGGGTTACTGGGTACCCGATCGGTTCCCAGGTTTAATCCAAATGGAAACAAGAACCAAATTAAAAATATTAAAAAATCCATTCCGGTTATTAGTGATAACCGAATCCGAATCAAATCGGATTTTTTAGATCGGGTCGGTTTGGATAAATCAGATTCGGAATAAACGCCCACAGCTACTTTGGAATGTGAATAGAGCGGCGAAACTAATAACTAGAAGAAGAAAACAGTCTTTCAATACATTTGAAACGTGTTTTTGGATCATGTTGCACTTACAGGTATTGTTGATATTGTGTAACCAAGATCAATCAGCTTTCTGATCAACACTTTCTCAGCTTTTGCCTACACAACACCACAAACGAGAAAATTAAAAACAAAGATTGTTACTTTCCCATTTTCTACATACTAATGTTAAGATTATCAGAATAAACTAATAAAAATTTGTTAGGCTCTATTAATTCATGAATGTATGAATAAGAATAGATTGTAGCTCATAAATATGAAATATTTTCATTGGCTATAGTTCTTTGTAGGAAGCTAACAAAGTTAACAAAATCTCACATTGAAAGTTTGGAAAATTCTTGTCTAGTATATATAAAGACCATTACATGTACTGGTTCAAATGGTTAACAGAGGAAGAGAGGACACACACACGTGCGCACTGCCGCCGCCGCTGGCGGACCGGCCCGTGGTCTTTTCTAGATTTGGCATTTAGCACTCTAAGGCTTTTGGTCTGTTTTCATTTTTAGATTGGGCTCTTGGTCTCTATATGTGAGTGCAGGGGTATTGACTATGATTCTTATTTATGTTATTTCCGATTAATTGTTTCAAATTTTTTTCTTAACTCGTTTTATTTGGTTTTGATTATTTGTATTACTTTCGTGATTGAATCGATCGATTTATTTCGTAGTTTACCAAATATTGGTCTCACAGCCTTAACTCAAAGAAATCTGTTATTGTTTTACAAACATATCAGAGATTTTAATCACGAATATATAAAAATTTTCAATCAATCGATTTCAAAACAATTTTTTTGGATTTTAATCAGTTTTATTACTCTCTCGTTTATTGGTTGTGATCAATAAACGAAGACATTACAATCTTTTTGTAGTCGCTAATTTTCAGATTAGGATTTAGTAAAAGAGATCATGAATCATGTTTTTTACTAAAAAACAATTATTCAAACACGTTTTAAATGCTTTGACGAATACTTTGCGGAGATTCGAAGATGATCTGCGGATCTTGCAGTTTTAATGTTGGTTCATACCAAATTAATTCTTTACATACTTTAAAGTATCAATTC